GATTAGTGTTTAGAGGATATGCCTTTAAAGAAACATTGTTCGACTTTAAATCGTAACTCTAAGACACAATAAGATGTTCTAAGAAAATGTAGACTTCTAAACCGAACTAAATAAAACAAGTAGAAAAATTATCGTACATTTTACTACTTATTGACATTCTGGGCGTTATAAATGTAACTCAAATTGTTGAATATAATCTTGCGCCGTAATAATTTTTTTTTTTGACGCCTCATATTTCGCAAGGCGGCAATTTGACAATAATATTTCTGAATAGTGAGGAAAAATTCAATTACATGCTCAAATAAATATATTTTCCAAAACTTTAATGAACCACAATATTAAATATTACTGTCATCTGTCGTATATAGAGGTAGAACTAAATAATTCGCCGAAGTATACAGTGTAAGTATTCAGCAATTGACGTGTTTTGGCAATTTGCCGCCTACTCGAGCAGTCGTGGAAATAGTATATCTGCTTTGAAACATTGTATGAGTTCAATATCACTTCATCTATTATAGAATGTTTCTTGTTCTGAGAAGACATGAACTCAATGATTGAGTGACATGTTTGCTTCTTGTTCGTACACAAGTGTATAGCGTATTCATTTTATTTTGGTTTGTGACTTTTGGTGGAACGGTATAACCTTCTGTTCGTAGGTAAGGACAACAATACACAGTTAGCTAGGGAAAATATAATATCGTAATTAAATATGACAAAGAAAGGAATTCTGGCGTTCAACACACCTGCATAACAGCAATTTTGGGTACTGAACTATACTGAAATATACTGAAGTATCTGTTCGAACTGTGACATCAATTAAAAAAGAAGGCTTTGAAGCTTGTGGGGCGCTTAAGTACTCCGGTAAGAAAGGCCATATTTGAAGATACAAAATCTACACATTGATGACATCGACTTATTGCTTATGTGTTTTCCTGATTCTCGTATGATGCTTTAATTCTTGCCTATGGACTTGGCTTAATATATTTGGGAGCTAGTAGTTGCAGATTAGGCGGAGGCAGCTTTCTAAGAACATTGAACGCATTCCTCAGCCTCGCAACAATAAGAATGAGGTGGCACGGGATGAACAGACGTAGTAGACATGTGGACATGGAGCAGGAAGTGTAAAACGGAGACAACACCGAGTAAGCAAGCCATCAGTGAACTTGGTGTGAGCATTCTCCACGTTGTCTATTTGCGAACCACTGTCCAGTGCCATATTGGACTTGAAATCCGGGTCCCCTCCCACACGGCCACTTTACGCGAGTCCAGGCTCGTTCGTGCCCTAGTCCCTGCTCTATCTTCTTGCGGCAAGGTGGCGATGAAAGACCACGCGCCGATGCATTTGGAGCAACATCTGCTCATAGTTTTCACAATCGACAGACTGAATCAGACCTTCAGAGAAAATTCAAGATTTTCTCCGTGAAAATATAAAGTAGTTTTCACAAAATTTAGGAAGTACAGACATCAAATGAAGAATTCGATGGATTAGTATAGTACGATATAAGCAATACTATAGTGTACATACTTTGGTTTTTACACAAAACGCGTGCCAATTATTATTATTATTATTTTTTATTATTATTATTATTATTATATATTATATTATTATTAGTATTATTATTAATGATAATAATAATAATTAATAATATAATAATAATAATAATAATAATAATATAATAATAATAATAATAATAATAATATAATATAATAATAATAATAATAATAATATAATAATAATAATATGTACAACGCAGTCCTTATATTCTCTTTCTTTCAATACATTAAATTTCTCGTGCAAAGAAAGCAAATGACCAGACGAAGTCAGAAAACTCTACGGGATTCCAGCCAGACCAAAGAAAAGATAAAGAAAAGTTTATTCACATGACAAACACTGAAGATCGTAAGAAATTTTCCAGATCATCCGAAATATGACCACGAACTTTAAACCAACAATGGCGAATGTTAGGAACGTGAACGACAAAATAAATACATCAAAAGAAGGAGTCTCGAAAAGATGCGAAGAATACGAAGAAGTTATATGATATAGGGCTTGCAAATAGCAGTAGTGTATAATATGATGATTACGAATAATAACTGAGATGAAGAAATTAATTGGGCGACAAAACATCAGAAAAATGGAAGTCCGGCTGTAGATAAATTCCATCGAACTATTCAAGATACAGGAAAGAAATCTTGGCGAAACTAACACAATTATGCAATTGATCTGGAAATAAAACAGTGAACAACAGATTTGCAACGCATTATTTAACTACATTACAAAGAAAGGGAGACAGCCAGATTGTGCACATAAAACACAATTTTCATGAATCCGTGTGATGCAAGTCATCGGCAAAAGTCATCTCTCGGAAAAGAAAAAAAAGGATTTTAAAATGTTTGTTAGTGTAAGCATATACTTTAAGATATTTCAAAGTATATTCATCATTCAAGCAACCTCATTTCTATCTACTCTGGAACTTGTGTAGATTGCATTACATCACGTAAGCTTAGAGTAAAGCTATCTAGATCATACTCAAGAAAAGATTCCTGTATTAAACTGTTCGAATGTTCATATATTTATATCTGGTAGAATGTCACGAAAGAGTCAGTCTAACTGGTTTTGCATGATGCAATTTCTAAAGATAACTTTTTCTAGAAAATCCACTTTTTATAAAACAAAGAAAATAGAAGGAACACGCTCCAAATGCAAGCAAACATCTAGGAGTTATCCAATTGCATCATTACCCTTTATTCATTTACGTAGTCTGAAAATGACTCACAGGAATTATTTATTCTCTCAAAATTATACAAATATAACAATTTATTTTATATCAAATAACTTACAAGTACGCTGGGATAAGTCATGATTCATACTATCTTATTTCGATGCTTTGTTACAGCGTTGGAGTTCAGGATTACACTCCCAGACCGCTATTTGACACTTTATTAAAATTTGAAGTCGTAGGCTTCCTCGGCCAGAGTCGTGTGCATGATTGTTGCCGACGGTTCGACGCATCTTGTCGTAGTCTTCCTCGGGCTTGGTATCCATACAACTGATGGTATGGACATGGGTAAGACACGACAGATGGTCGAAACGGTCGGCAAACAGCCTTCGACGCGACCGTCACCTCGGGACAGCTAAGATAATGCATTTTTTTAAAATTTGTCCGGAAAGTACCAAAGATTTAAAAATTAGCTTCGACTATTTACTTGGGGAAAGAGAGATTCACCAGATGAGGCTCTTTAAAGCAATAAAACGCGTTTTGGTGATCAAAATCGAATTGTAGGATAAAAGAACTAGTGCGTATACTCCGCACATTTTTTACGGTATTTGACAAACGGCAAGGATCTTAGACCAAGGTGGAGTGATAACAGGAAGACTTAGAAGTAAATATATCTAAAATAAGATGTGAGGAGATGGAATACATGCGGTACTTACACAATTAGTTCCCTTTTTTAAAAAAATAGTTAAAAATCGGAATGCAATATTTTTGAGTAATTGCATCACAAATTTGTAAAATAGTATTCGAAGGAAGACGGAAATATGTAAAAAGGCTAGTTCTGTACTACTATTTACCAGACCGTTTACCCATCGGTCTGTATAGTAGTATGGAATCTCTAGTTTGTATCCGTGGAAAAAATAGATTGAGATGCAAAGTGACGAACGGCATAAACCGAGTGTGTGGCTTGCGTGTCCCGCAAGTACGCGCCTCCTCCGTCCGTCGTCGGGGCTGGCCGCACGGCGCGGGACTGGCCGTGCACCGCGCTGACAGAGGGCCCACAACGGGCGGGTGGGTGACGCAACGTGCAGAAGGGGAAGTGGGGGGGCGAGGTGTTTTGTAATTTCAACTTTAGACGCTCACGCTTCTATTCGTCCGATTTGCATGATTGTCACGGCGTTGGATTCAGGAAGCATGTCGCCATCGCGCAATAAGGCCACATTTTTAAATTTGTTCTCGGAAATTTGAGAACTAATTTCAAATTCGCGATTTTTGGAAAAAGGTCATCGTAGCGTTAATTCTATTTTAAAAAGGCGTCAAATGCCGTTTACAAATTGAAAATCGGACCATTGACTCAGACGTTATCAGTAAAGTAAATTCCCCTGAGATAGTGCTGCGATGTCTTGAATTTTCCTACAAGAATTTTTCGGTGCATTTAGCCTTAAAAGAAGGGAGTAACTGAACTATTTGTGAGTCAGATGAAAAATAACAGTATTAAATGTGTAAATGAAACTGTACTTTCATGTCTTTTGCGTCTATTTCCGACAGTTATTTAGGAGAATCCTTTACATAAAAAATAACATTTCCAGGATTATTATCAGTATACGTCCTATTCGTCCGATTTGCTATTCGTCCTTATTACCTCTAGTAGTACTACTACTCAAGAAGCATCTGTATCTCTGAGAAAAAAGTATTATGTAGCAGTGAAATGGAAATGACTAATGGAATTCTTTATTTCACAAGAAAATATCAAAATTTAACTTTTCATATTAATTCAATAAAATAACGCGTATATCGAGTTATTTTTCTTGTTTGATAATTATGTCATTTACTTGTTTATTTCCATGTTTATTCAGTGTTACAAATCGAATTAATTTCAAAAAATAATAAGTTTGTAGAAGGTCCGGACATAATGTTGCAAAAGACCCCCTGCGGATAATGAACTAGTAAACCATAAAGTAAATTAAATAATCTGGAGTGGAATTGAATGAATAGTGTCATAATATACGAGTAACATATCTAAAAATATTGTACTTTAATCTTGTAGGTAAAAATGACATGCTTTTATTTTTTAATAAATGCATAAATTAATGAATAAAAAATGAAGAAAATATAAATAATAAATGTTAAAAAATGTTCTCGGAATTTTATTCTCTAACATTCAGCACAAGTAGTTGATTGTGATCTATCTTTCTGGCATTTTATATGTCAATTTGACATTATAAGAATGTTTTCTTTACTAATACACTACTTGGCACTTTATGTACAATGTTCTCTAATCCTCATTTTCATGTGGTTATTTGTGTGAATATGAGTTCAATTGCCGTGTATGAAGAATTCTATAAGGGTACATGAATTGATTTTAAAAAATCCTTTCTTTTATTAATAAAAATAGAGGAATGGAGAGCCATTATAACAACTTCATTAAGTCGCAAGAACTTACCTGGAACCTTTTCAGTTTCAAGGAACAGTTAAAAGTAATTAAATTTCTTCACGCTCATTTTACATAATTTATAACAGTATATTTTAAAACATCAGGTATAAAAAAGTCGATATATACTACGTTTTGAGTTTAAAGTATTTGCTTTCTAGCGTGTAAATCACTAGTCATTTGTAATATTCTCTTGCATGCACTGCAGCTCTTACCAATCTCATATTGTGTCTGCTTGACGCAAGCAAGCATTTGCGCCCGTGCGCATATTCTTAATTGGGACTTATCTTCGCCAGAGTTCATATTCTCTTCTTGGGAGCTATCTTCGCCCGGATTGCTCAAATTCAAGAAGAACGGGAGTTGCGAAGATCCACTGCAGTTGCCTGCATGCCAGTTGCTTTCGACTAGAGCTGATCGCGCCCGAGCTGACTCCTCCTCCCCTCCTCATGAATTTGGCTTACAACAATCAGTGGATCACACCGGTAGCCTCCAGATAAGCGCTGGGTTAGATCATTTCAAGGTGGCTGCCCACTTGTGCAGTCCCTTACTAAGCAACATCGTGCTTTCGTCTACTAGCAACTTCTTTTTGAGTGCTCTTCGCTTCGTTCTTGTTTCCCCGCAGACCCCTGAGAACCGGGCGCAAGTATCCCCCCTCCGGGGCGGCCAACCAGGCGACGATCGCCGCCCGGAAGAAGTCCATGACGTAGCCTGTCGCCCGGTAGGGCAGGTCGTAGTCGAACACGTCGAATCGACTTTCCTCGGAGAAATTCGTTAGCGACCAGCTTACAACCTCCGACAGGAGTTCAACGAATCCTCTCATCAAGGATATTTTGATGAATAATTTAATTCTGCAACAGAGAGTCTCCGGTAAAAATGCGCACATATCGTTAAACTGTTGATTGAATTTGCGGTTCTTATTCTACTTACAGTGTCCCACGTGAAGAAATAGACTGAATAGCGCGGAAACATGACCAAATACGCGAAGGCGCAGTCAAAATGTCACCTTCTAACCTGATTCTATGTGATACCTTTTCCTTCAGTTTCCGAAACTTTGATAAAACTACCTTGACTATACGCAAAGCATTATTTCAAAGGCCGTTGTTGCCGAACAGTTACTTAGAGCAAAGGGGAAAAAAAAACAACAGGAAGCGAAGCATGTATTGAGCTTAGAATTTAAAGTAGCTCAAAGATAATTATTCATGTCTTTTGCAAATTCAGCATCAGAAAATGTATTCATGGTCAAACTGAAATTCATTGCATATTGTTCTGAAACATATTTTCTTTATGCACAATAATGTGCCGCGGAAGAAATTTAAACCTATCTCTTTACTGTAACAATGTTGACACACACTCATGATATAAAAAAGAGCGGTTTGTCACAACATTAAACACGTTCAGCCACGCACTACAATTACTCAAAGTACAACAGAAACGACCTCATTTTTGCGAGTTTCCACCCGTTTGCTTTTGCTCTACGATATCGCGGCGTTGCGAATGGATTCGTGAACGGGGAAAAGTCATAAAAGTAATAATAATAATAATAATAATAATAATAATAATAATAATAATAATAATAATGATAATGATAATAATAATACATTTTCTTTATTTGCAGCGAGTCTCAAGCCTTATGGCCTGCTTTACCGCCTGAACTGTTTACTGAATTTACGATTTCAAAAATTACAGTTGAGGCGTACGAATGTAAGAAATATTAACTGACATTTCATGTTACAGAAAAAAATTCAATTAAAGATTTCCATCTGCATAAAATTATTTGCGTAACCCAAGGGATTTTATTGTAATTTTCTTGTGCATTCTTGAAATTATATAAAATGTTATGTTATGATGCAAGGAATAAATTGTAAATTATTACACGATTAAGGGATAAGTTGTAAATTATCTACTTACGTTTTGACATCCACAGCTGCTTTTCCGGTTCTCCCTTCACGTGGCTTCCCATCATCGCTCACAGTAATTTCTTTTGGAGGGTTGCTTCTCTCCGAGTGCCTCAGTGCGCCTTTCTCCTCCTCTCGGCGAAGAACTGAGTTGCCTCGTCTCAAGTACTGCACTCTCCTTAAGGTCACCACGAGACATATTATGTTGGTTAGGACCAAGCAGCTGACAGGACCGTAATAGAATAGCGCTGTGTCATGTTTTACAGAACTGTAATTTAATATATTGCCCGAAACACCTGCAAACAAAGAAAACAAAATAGCGCTTTACGTATCAAAACAAAAATGTTATTTTGATTGAATGTTTTTATGAATGAAGTATTCCGTAAGTGTAGTGGTATTCCTCCCCTTTGGAAAGATCCGGCGCCAACCTTCACGTCAGCCTGCAGGATTCTTTCCCCTTGAAGTATCTTCCCCAACGTGTGTTGATGTATTGTAAGTGCAAATGTGAGATATATTGAGAACAATATGAATCCCTTGTTAGTAAGAATTAAGAAGAGAACGTGTGGGTGACTTTGTTTTAGATATAGTTTGCTGAGAGAAAACTTTTTCCTCCCTAGGCCATGATCCTCCCTCCGGTTCAGCGACCAAAAAAAGACATAAGAGTTAAAACTACATTTAAAATATCCGTATATATCCGTAATTCCTATAGTTACGGTTTGTTCGATTGTTAAATTACATTTAATAATCGAATAAACCGTTAATATAGGAATTACGGATATTTTAAGGATGCATTTGTGAACAAACGCATCACGTTACAAACTTACTCAAAATTGAACGCAACGTACTTTTATAAACTTGTGGTTGACTTTGCCCAAATTTCACTTGGAGTTTATCACTTTGCTCTCTTTTAAAATATAAAATTTGCCTGAGTAAAAAAATGCAACGTTCCGAAAAATTATAATTTTTTTTTCAAATTTAGTTTGAATGTAAAACAACTAATTCTCTAGAGAATACCGAGGGCTCTATTAGAAAACGCATTCTTATCGTTTTCAAATTTGTTCCTTGAACCCAGGATTGAACCCCGTTTTTAACTATACATTGCAGTGAATCTGATTGTTCCCTGCTGGGCGCGGCTTCGTCACGCCAATTTGGGCCTCGACGCACAAGAGGCGCACCTGAATCGCCACGCGGTGCAACTGCACCCTCCGAGATTCCCCTCCCCCCACACAAAGGCGCTTCTTGAGAGGTCTCTCCGAGCGCCGAAGGCAGAAGGAAACCTCCCCGACCGCCCCGTTACGCCTTCGTGCCAAGTGTAACGTATTAGCCAGCGTGCCTCAGGCATCTATTTGGGGACGCTGTGTGAGGATTAGTCTCGCCACAGGAACAAGGGCTTTTCCGTAAAGGAAGAACGCGGAAAAGGGAAACACAAGGCTTTGGGAGTATCCGGCCTATAGAAACTTTTCACTGTTATAACAAGCGAGGGGGTGGCGTGACGTAGTAGGTCACGTGGCCTCGCCTATATAACAGAGTGTACAGAGCCAGTGGTGGGTTCTGGAGACAGTGGGAGAACCTCGTGCATGTGCACAAAACTTGGCGCCACGACGGTGCATATGCGAGCCAGGCTCGCGAGGCTCGAGTCACTAGTTGACGAAGCCTGCGGACTTTAGGTCCTTGTGACTGCGGTCACGGGGAGCGATGCTGTGTGCGTGCTCCGAGGTGAAGAGTGGTTGAGTGCCACGATTCACGCTGATTCTCAATCGATAAGATCGCTCCTGCGATCGAGGCAAACCAGCCGTTGGTGCGCCAGAACGGACTTTGTGTCCCAGCGTGACATCCAGTCACGGAACTAGGCTTTGTGCGCGCTTCAGAAGTAGGAGTGGCGAATGCCAGAAATTAGAACCGATCTTCATCGGGTTGGATCGCTCCCGCGATCAGGGGATAGTAGGTCTATGAGAGCTAGGGTGTAAGTAGGATATTAAGTGTATATATTTGTTTTTTTATTTGTTAAAAATTATTTGTTATGTGAAAGCTCTGTGTCTGTGGTCGCTGTGATATCCATGACGTCACACAAGTGAACCGAATTAACCGCCGTCGCGGCTACGGCCATGCAAACCCCAAAGAGCGTGCAATGAAGCGACCATGAGGGCGGGCGACAGCGCACAGGGCTCCCGACCGCGCGCCCACAGTGCGCGAAGGGCAGCGAATTAAAGTACACAAAAACAGGAGCTGGGATTGTCTTAACCAATTAGCGAGAAGGACCGATGGAATGAATGTTCGAGCCGCAAGACCCAATCAGAGTAAATGCGCTAAGGACGTGATAGAATTCGGAGCTCTCAGAAAGAGATGGGGATGCAGGAGCGGAGACAAAAAGAAGTTGAGAAATTTTCCCTGGTAATCTTAACCCTGAACCAGCCACTTCCATTTTTTGGCTTGAACATGTCTCTTCAAATTTCGTCTCCAATAAATTTTGACTTGAACAAGGCACTTGTCAACATCAGTTAGAACGAGAAGGCAGTATATGGCGGAATAGATGGCAGTCAATTGTACTGACTGGACCGGCGCAGCTGGAGATACATCACTCAGGGGCTTAAAGATTACCTGAAAACGATTCGACGAGAAATTCTGTGTAACACACTCTTGTTTCCATATGCGATGGATTGTACCACTTTGCAGTCTCCTTCGGGTAATAGAGACTTCTGTCGATTTGTAAAAAAGCAGATGCAGTCGTCAGCAGCGCAGGTAGTCCCCAGCAAACAAAAGACCATGCGAGCAAATTCTTCCAGGCAACACCGCTGGAGTACGACACTTGCAATCTGAACAGAAAAAAAATACTAGATGGCACATGTGTAAATATTGAGATGCAAAATACTCTTCTTGAACACCAAAAGGAATTGCGAACTCTCTACCATCTTATTTCTTTCGCTATTCATTACCTTTTTACTTCCGCTGAAACGGTTTGATTTGCATACACGAGGAACATGTTGATGGGACGCGATGGAAACTAATAATGGGACGTTGAGAAAACACCCACACGTTTCCAGGATGCTCTGGTAATTTCAAGCGCTTTTGATATGCATTACGTAAAATTGCGATATAAACGTAAGAATAAATTTAGTAATCTTTCTTATTTAGGAATGTGGATCACTAGAACAGTTGGATAATCTGGGAACATTCTTTACTTGTCTTTCTCAAGATGACTTTTGTGATATTTTTGTGACTCTCAAGGATAGAGAAAAGCTAACCGTCAAGTAACTTCAAATATTTTTTAAGGAAAGTATCGAAGAACATATCTCTATAATACTGAATATGTTTCCAATGTTAATTGCATTGTTTTTATTTTTGTTTGATATTGTTTAAGTACGAAGTGACAATTGTACATTTTTAACAGATAAAGACGTTTCATTAACAACCTTCCTTCCTAAAGGAGAGGGTAGATAGGAACAATAGGGTGTGTATTATCATGCGAGGGCTATCGCACGGGAACGCTAGTAAATAGTCATTCGCGAATGCCTCAGCTGGACATTCCTACTCGTCACTGCTTTCGTTCATAACAACTAAACGTTTTATCTGACGATACATTAAAATGACTAGCTAGCTGTACATATGCTCGTAACTGCGACAAGTTTTCTGACTAAATCATAGCTCTGATGCAACGTGTCATTTTCGATTATCTGTAAGACGTTTCGCGATAGTCAATTACCTTGACTCGGCGCTAATGCCTTTACTAAAAATTGTGACCTCTAGTTGTTCATGTCTCTTATATTTCATTAAGTGACGCTTCCAAAATAAAAATAAAAAATTCTATAAAAGTTCACGTCCCAAATAACAGCTATGTTTATTTTGTCCTAGAAATCTCCAATGCTCCATATTTATTGTTTATTTCTACTTCGAACTTTCTAAACCTTACTATTTACATCACAGAATTTGCATCTGAAGACGACTCCACACATGCGGCATTCGGCGAATCCCGTGCAACCGCTTGCCGAATTCCGAGCGGTGTGGACGGGTTGCTTTCGATTCGCCAACCTCCGAACATTCGGTATTCGCCCTACCCAACGCGTGTCGGTCTTTAAGGCACATCAAAGGGAGCGAACATTCGACGAACACATCAGCTGTTCGGGATTGGGCGAGTAGTAGCCCGCTGCTCGGCGAATGCCCAATAGGTGGAGCCGCCTTTATACGTACATGCTCAATATGGCTACCCAATGTCCTCTTTGAAAACGTAGCATATTACTCTTTTACTTTCGCTTCCGAGCACCAATACTTCAAAATGAGTCACTATTCCATGTTATTCTCCTCAATAATTCCCTTTCGATATCTGGGTATGTCTCAGATTCACACACTTTACAGTAATACTTAGTAAATTTCGCATTCATTCACGCTCAGAAACACCTATTAAAAACAATGTTAAAATGTTTAATAATTACGTACTCTTTATTCTTTACCTTTCTGTAGTTTCACACCATAAATGAAATTGAAGATTTTTCATAATGGCTTAAAACATAAACAGAATATTTTAAACAAAAAAATCGTTAAATAACACATGACTAAGACTGTTTTCCACGATTGTGATTTTATACCTTATCAGGATAAGTTTTCATGTAGATGTATTTTTCTTATGTTCTAAGTTGGTTTACGCTAAGTTTTTTGTTTCTTTCACCAAAAGACGAACAAAAAATACATTAGTTAAGTGATCATTTTTATTGGCGCATGCAGTTTCTCTTTTTGGAATTCAAAACCGCATTGATGTCCTTTTTCCATCGTTTACTGTTACTTTTTAATCCGAAAACCAATTGGAAACTTCTGAAATTGTACTACTTATTGTTTCTTTTTAGCAAAGAATATTCGTATCTCTAGCAAAAGGAATTGTTCTTCCGTTTCAATTCGATGTGGGCATTTCGTGTATGAATAGAAGAAGTTATCAGGAGCGAGGCCCCATTCTAAAAGGTCAATGAATCGAAATTATGCGTAAAAACCGCTGTTTTATGTCAGTACGGTATTTCTATACTTTCAGAGCAATGATTCAGTTACGAAGATATCCAATCTACAGATTGCTTTATGAATCAGTGATTCGCATATGTAGTTAATTTTGAAAGCAACATTTTATGGTGAACTAACTGATTATGTCATCCTACACGTTCGTCGATTTACTTTTGTACAAAATAGTCAGTATTCAATCTTCTCGTTTAGCAATTCGGAAAAATTTGACTGTTGCATTCCCTTAGCACGAGCTTTACTCCCTTGCTAATTACATTATAATACTAATAATAACACTTATTATCAACCATAATATAATATGCAATAAGTAAAAAAATAAATTACGTGTAGCATTGCTGTAACAATATTCTCCAGTGGCGAAGCTAGAGTCATGCAGTTCGGTTTTCTAAAATCTTACCTAACAGTTTTTTTTGGAAATCAGTTCCATTGATTTACAAAACTCAATTAATAATTCAGGTTCATCGTTCAGCAAACACATTGAGAACATATTTTTTAAAGCTGTCGTCCCTGAGAAGTTAATTTAGCAGGCACTTCTCGATAGCCTTTGAGCACAAATTATTGAGCATGATATTTCCCTTGGAATTTCTCTGGAGTGTTTCCACTCTAATGTAATCATATTCCTTTCACATAATGCTTTGGATGCAGGGGATGTTAGGTGAGTAATATTAATCGAATATGTAATAATAACTTAGGGATAGAAACAATTTTATTTCAATACACTCTGCCTACGACAAATCCCTTATTTCAGGCCTTTTAGTAATACAAAAAATCTGAAAATGCGGAAAGATGTAAAGCAGAGTTTAGGGAAAACCACATCATTTTTGTGGCCATTTGGAATTTGTTTCGCATCTTCCAATATTAGTATCTCTTCCCCGATGGGGGAGCACTGCGTGTGTGCCGGGCTGTTACATTTAAAATATACTTTCCAAACAAAGTGATCTCAAATATCTCGTAAATCACAAGGGATAATATAGAAATGAATACACGTGTCAATTAGTCTCAGTCCTTCATGTACTGCCGTGAAAACAGCATTGCAATAACTTTAACCGTTCAAAAGTTACAGGAGGTGATATGTGATGTGATTCATCCTGTATTTCTGACCAACTCGTGAGGTACACCTTTGTGAGACACACCCGACGGTTACTATGTCATGTCCAATATTGTCATATCGGTACATATTGAAGTAAGATATGAGGTTCTCCCAGTGCCCTTGTTAGGTTCGACAAGCCCTTCGATTCACTCAGGTAACTTTTTGTCGCGTGAATTCTATATTTATGGTTGCGCATTATGATTCTTTTATTGGATTATCAATTATTTGTGTTTACAATGTGAAATATTTATAAACAAATGCATCTACATTTCTTTGTTTTATGTAAATGCGGTATAAATTTCTATTGTCGACAGTTGTGCCAATACCTGCCATAAATTTGTATAACTCAATCATTTTTAGGTGTGGTATTGCACTAATTCTCTTCTCTGAAACACCTAATCAAGACACTTCCGATAAATGTTTTATCAAAAACAGCGCTAGGCAATCTCGCAAAAATATCTGCAAGAAGAAAAAGTCTAAAGGTGTTCTTACCGGAAGCCCCGTGCCATATTTATACAGAGAGCTGTTAGCCAAAACCAGGCCGCGGTGAGTAAGAAGTACATCGAGAGAGCTGCAGGAAAGAAACTGGTTTCACTTGAAAGTTCAAATTTCAATATGCATAAGACTTGCATATTATGATTTGATAAAGAAACACAATCCACTGTTTATAAATGTACAAAATTATGATTTTAAATCTGATAATCAATCTTTTTCACTTTTATTCACCTTCGATATATTTTACTTGTTTTGACGGCCATCGATATATTACTTCACTTGGAGATCAATTCACTGATCGAAAAATGATTTGCTGAATCGGCCCATCTCTCACACATATCAAGGGGATGTGGTTGTAGAAAAGAGTTTTAGTAGTGCTTCAGAATGACACAGATTTAGTTAGATCCGTATTGGTTTTCCATTTCCCTTGGTCTCGATAAGCTGTTGGACGTGCCACATACTCTTGCAGCTGCCATTTATCACCGTCCAAAGTACATTTTTTGAAAATTTCTTACATTTTCGGTTTCCAAATAATAGAACGGAAGTATTATATTAAGGATATTGTAGAATATTAAGTCTCGCCCAAAATGGCAATTACCTTTGAAAAATTGGAAGCTGTTTTTATGAAAATAGCGTTTAAATGCTACTGTAAATTCGAAATTTGAACCTATTTTTACAGGAAATTATTGAGTTTCAAAAACCTTTACAAGAAGTCATTTAAGACACATTATAGCACAAATGCAATAGTGTTTACAAATTGCTGGAAATGTGAATATTAACGGTGTGAGAGATATTTCAAAAAATTTACATTTGTGTAATTTGTGAAAAATCTTATTAATAAAGCAAAATTAATTATTTGTCGTCTTCAACGGGACAATTGTTTAGAAAAGTTCGAATACAAAATTGGAGACGCTTTTGAGAAAATGGGGTTAGAACGTTTCTGAAAATATGGAATTTTGAGCTAGTTTTCACAGAAAAATGGTGTGTTGTAGGGAAATTTTATTTGACATTATTTAAAGCAGACGCACTCGTAAAACATTAATGTGAACAATTTTACGCTAATGTAAATATTAACGACGTGAGAGACAAGTCACGAAAATTACACATTCGTTTCTAAAAAAAACAAAAGAGTGCAAAATAGCGTTTATGTCATATCCTAGAGTACTTTTAGCACTACCAAAAGTTCAAAGAAAAAAATTGGAGACTTTTGTAAGAAGATATTGTTTTTGTAATATGTTTAAATTGCAAATATTGCACGCAATATTTCTCTACAACTACTGAAAGTTTTTAAAAAAGTACATGATGAAGGGACTATAGACAACAAATTTTAAACGAAACAAAAATCTCTCTCTTAAATTTTGTAGTTGTGGAAGACGCGGAAAAAATTCAAACTTTTGTAATTTTCGATAATTCAGTGTTAATATATGAATTACTTGAAAAGAAATTAAACTTTAGTAATGTCTAAAATTTCAAGCCTTTTAATAAAAATTGAGAATATACTATAGTATATGCATTCTATTTTTCACAAAGAATTTAAAAAACTTATCGGCCATTGTCAAAAAAATTGATAAGGTTTTTTTCAGCTCTTAATAATATTTTACCAGTTGTTTGCTTTTCCATGAATTTTATCTTTAAGTTCCCAATTATAAATACACGGAAATAGATTAATGATGTTAACTCACCAAAATGCCGACACACGTTTTCCAGTTCAGGTGGTACCCCGTGCTCATAGTTGTCGTCTATAATATCGCTGATAGTGACATAGTACGCGACCTGACCCAAGTTGAACCCCAAGAGGCAACCGGCGTGACAGGCGAGGCACCAGCCGTGCACCTTGCGTCGCATGCGACAGTCGCACACAACCGCAAGCAGCGCCGCGCCCAACACGACGACGGAGGCGACGCAGAGGGGTCGCAGGAGGCGGTAGACGCCTCGCACGAGGCGCGGGTGCTCACAGTACCAGACGGCCTCCTCGAGCGCGCCGCCGTCCGCGTGCCGCACGTGGTCGGCGCACGTGCGCCACGTGGCGAAGGTGAAGTGGTGCTCGGGCGCACGCGCCAGGAGCGCGGTGCGGAGGTGGCGCGCGACCAGCGAGGGCCGGGCGCAGTGCATGCCGTAGGCGTACGGGAACTCCGGGTCGAGCGCCGCTGAGAACGAGACGTTTCGCGGAAGCGGATCCAGCCGGCCGTCCTCTACGCACCACCAGTACGTGCCGTCAGGCTCCAGCGCCTGCCCGTCCACGCAACACTTGTGCGCGCACTCCTCGGCGGTGCAAAGGGTGGAAAAGAGCAGCGCGCGGGGGCCCAGAGGCGGCAGCGCCGCATCCACGCAGTACGCGCTGGTCCTCCTGAGCCCGCCCCCCGGCTTGGGACGCGCGATTTCTCCTTCGCCAAAGAAAACAACCTGCCTCCTCCACAGGTTCTCGTCGGGACGACGGGCCGGGTTCCACACCGAAGACGCGTTGACGCTCACAGCATTTCGATAGAAATTTCGATCGTGCATGTTAGGGTGGTCGATGGAGAGGACGCTTTGCAGCGGGAGCCCTGAAGGGAGCCAGAGCTTTACCCACGCGGCGTCCAGAGGAGGGACCACCCGGCCGAGGCCGTCGTGGAGAAGCGCAGCGCTGCGCGGCCAATCTGCTCCCACGCACGAACGGCCATCGCCCGACAGAACTTCCATCTCCCCGCAGCACTTCTTTATAATTACTACTTGATCTTGGCTGGCGGCCGCCACAAGTGCTAAATGCAGCGCAAGCAGGGCATGAGGAAGCATGTTGAGATTCACTGGAGAAGCCCAGAACTTTTTGTTGATTCACCGGAAAACAGTGCTGTTAGACTATGTGGTTATACTCTCACCTCTCTCTGGCGGAAGCGCGTACAGAAATATCTCTGTTAAATCAACGAATATCACTGTCGAGACCAAAAGAGTGAAAAGTTTTGTGAGGCGATATGAACGGGGATATGTACGGTGCAATCGGCGTGGAAAACGCCAAGCGATGCAAGAACGGCTTACTGAGTGTCAAGTAACGACCGCACCAGAGATTCCCTCGGAGTTTAATCTAGATTCCGTTGGCAAACATCCCACTGGGCAAAACCCTAAAGACTCATGCGCCAATCTTCAGCACAATCTTTTATTTCCTGGCCGCTTACCGCATCCTGTTTCGGTGCGGATTGGCCGTTCGGGATGAGAAATCCGAATCCGGAGTGGCGTCTCTTCTAGAGACACAGCGATATTTATATTTAAAAATATTACATTTGCTTTCCAAATTTTGCAAGGCCCATGGGGATGAAAAAAGCATTTACAAATAAGAAGTATAACATGTGTAACTGCTATTTTTGAACTATTTCAGTTTTAGAAGAATATACAACTTAATACATCGCTAATCGTGACCCCTCTCGGATGTACATTTTAGTAACCATCCTCTTTCTCACGCATTTGTCGGTTGATATATTATTAATTCATTTTAAAATCTCTTCAATTAAAATAGAACGAAAATAAATTTATTTGAAAAGCCTTGCGGTGTGATTATTCAGGATTTTGTCATTGATTAAAAATCAAAATGTACTGTTGCCCCAAAAATGTGCTGTATTTTCAAACTGTATTAACATTTTCTTTATAATAATCCTAAGTACTGCCAAAGATATTCACAGATGTCCAGAAACTGCTGTTTCACAAAATATCACACATTCGGTGTTGAATTTAATTAAGAAAGGCAAGTCAAGGAAATCATACTGTCTCCGGGAAAATAGGGTTTAAATCACTAGCGGTGTCTTAATCAAATCAGCTGCCACCATAGCAATCACTGTGACTTCTCTTAAGGAGATTAGCGTTACCTGGTTTCTCTACACTATCAGTGAAACTGACGAGAATTGTCTATGTGGAATGTGTCGCACACTACATACGAAAGACTTCCACCCTGCACTGACTAACCTTTTTTTCAGAACTTGCTACACCAAGAGAGGGTTAAAAATTCTCACCATCAATATGACGCTAGATTTACATAAATATATTAATTTGTCAGTTTATTGTCACCTGACGGAGAGAAGGAACCAATCCTTTACGGTGACCGAGATAAATTAAGATAAAATGGCATCGCAATATGGGGCATATGACGGTGAACCACACTGTACTTCACTAGTATATGTGGATGAGTAACAAAGACAAAACTATAGTGCTTTAGGCACCACTGTAAAAACTATTTACAAAAAGTGTTATGTTCTTGTGATAAAACTAGTAAATTATATTGTTTCGTTCACGGTCGTTAGCATTACGCAATCTACAGTTAGTAGCCAGTGCATTTGCCTGTAACTGGGTCGGGTCTCGTCATTTATTGTATTGTATTTTTATTGATTTCGGGCTCTCCAACTGATAAAGTCATGCTTCCCGTAAGTGTAGTGCTAATTATTTCCTCGGAAGGTGGCGGTAATCGTCTCCCAATGGATGGTGAGATCCGAGGCTGATTTCCTCGAAAGTCTAGCCGAGATGTAGTTATGTCATAGTAGGGAACGTGCCGTCGTCGGGACTCCAACCTAGGACCTCCCGGTCAGAGGCACTGCAGTGAGGTCAGTTGATACCCTTAGCCACCTCTCCCGGCATCGCAAAAAGAAATGTGAACCTGCCTCCATCAGTCATCAGTCACGGGACTCTCCCCCTCCCCCACTGCGTCAACAGAACGCGCGGTAAGAGTCGATGTCGACAGAATGGTCATGGATGCCCCCCCTTAGTCACCCCCAACATTGCCGCCGGCAGAGCGTAGTGGAAAATAAGGGTCGACAAAACCAAGTAGAAGAGGAAATAAAACGCATTACATTTGTAGACGCCGTAAGCGAATGATAGAATGCACATTCATCTCGAGGTCGTTTTTAGGAAATGTCTTAGCGACTTCGATCCCATAGAGCTGGATAGCCTGTTTTTATACTTTTTCCGAGTGGTTTGAATACCCACCCGCATTTTTAGACGAGCAAGGCTACTGTCATAAGGTGCGAATTCTGCTCTTTTAAAGACTAAATCTAAAGTAATATATGTACAATCATTCAACAGGTTATATAAAAAAAGTCTGTCGTTTTCCTGGGGTTGCAGGAAATAAAACTCTTGTAGCATCAGCTATAGCTTCGCGTTCGTATATAAAGAATAATCTCAAATATCTTCATGAACGAGCGCTTTAGCTTGTAGCAATAAACGCTAGCTCCAAAATTAGTTTTAGAAACATATTCAGAATATATTGCAAGATTCTACCATTGTATCTACCATACCACACAATTCTCGTTTATACGGGGAGTATTGAGACATATCCAGATATCTCAAGTGAATTACTGAGGAGAATTCTATGGAACAGTGGGTCATTTCCAAGTGTAGGCACCTGGGAGGGAGAGTAAAAGGGTAGTATGCTATATTTACAAAGACGATATTGGGGAGCAAAATTGAACATTGAATTATTAGATACCTCCTATTTTCAGTAATCTTTCTGTATTATGTGGCGACATTCTGAATCTTTAATAAAATTCAGATTGAGATTAAAAGTCAAAATGATACGATACACTTTCTGTCTCAATCCATATTCTCTACCTATATAACTCTATCTCTATTTTGTATCTCTACCAAAATAACCTCACTAATATTTCGTAATATGTGTAAATTTACACTTGTAAGAAATGTGTAACTGACCATTCATATCTAATATTATTAGTTTGGATTATGCACCAGAATCAAGTGGAATTTACAGAAATTATTGGTAACTTTCCTAATAATTTGTAATATTAATACCTTTGATTATGTAACAGATATATTTTACAAGTTTACGTATATTGGCACTTTTATTAATTTTATTTGTTTGTAAGTTATTATGCAATAGGGCCCAGGAGTTCGAAGCAAATATTCGTTTCATTTCGATTAAACCTCGAGAGAAGGCCGTTGATAGAAATCGGAGGTGTACATTATTCATCCTATCTACGCAACGAATTGGAATTGTATTTTACGAATTTAAGATCAATGCTGCTAAAAATAACGTAAATATGGTCTTATTTAATGCAGAAGATAATGAATATTTCATTACTATAAATTTGTTGAGAATCGTCACGCACGTGGCTAGTTTGACAGGAAGAAATTCTTTAGAGCAGGGTTGTCCAACTGGCAGCCCGCGTGGCTATTTATTGTGGGCCGCCAGAGATTATTAGTCAAAGCAAATGCATCCACATCGGGCGATTGGGCATCCACACCATTGCGCGCCTAGTGCGCACACCTTCTCGGGGTCAACACCCCCTCTACTATGGGTTTCATTTAGATTGCACGTTTATTCTAGTAAATTCATAAATTCATAATCATCCCAAATCAGTATTTCTCCGTGTTATGGGCGGCCTGATATCACGCATGGTTCCACCCCCTCCTCCCCCATTTCAGAGCAGGCGAACAAACTGCCGAGATAAAAAATGCGGGGAAGTCAGGCGTGAATAGCCCGAGTAATGTAAAAGCTTTAGTTTTGGCCCTTGAGGCCTTGAATGTTGGGCATCTCTGATTTAGAGGAAACAGGCTGGAATGATTCTGCTGACTTTTAGATGACGGAAACTTTTCCATGTCCACTTAACATAACAAATGTTCGACCGAAAATTTTCAATATTATTATTATTATTATTATTATTATTATTATTATTATTATTATTATTATTATTACAACTAGCTTCAATTTGAAAGGCAAGCGATGGTCTCTTAGAATGCGATAGTTGCGCCGATTTAGGAAGAAAGGTTTGACAGCGTTTCGCAAGCCATGCCACTTCTTCTCCACGCGGCGTGGAGGCGTGGGCGGGCGGCGCGGGGCGGGGCGGGGGCGGGTGCGCCGTGTTGGCGAAGGCGTGACTCGCGGAGGTTAATGCATAGCGATCGAGGATGGTGGTGGTGGCAACTCTCACCTTATCAACAGGTAGCTGCCGCGCAGCAACAGGTTTCAGGGCTTGCCAGGCTAACATGGATACCTGACGAACGACAAAAGAGATTAAATACGGGGGGCGGATAGGCGTATGGAGAGGTAAGCAGATGCGCAGTGCACAATTCACTTGGGATGCGATCTGTGATTAATGGGGCCGGGGTGGGGGGCGGATGGGGGGATTGGGAGGGTAGGGCGAGGCAAGGTGGAAGGGTCAGTTCGCGCTGGGGCAGGAAGAGAGGGGTGGGGCGGGGCTGGGCGGGACGGATGGACGTTAGGGAGTGGGAATGGCGCTGTGTAGAAGGCGGGCGGGGCGGGGCGGGCGGGGCGGGGCGGGGCCGGGGCGGGGGCGGGCGGGGCCGGGGCGGCGGGGTCGTGGGGCGGGGGGGCGGGGCGGGGCGGGGGCGGGTATGGGGAGGTAAAGAGGGGCGGGAGGCCGCGGTAGAGGGTGGGGGCGGGGGCGTTTGGTCGGGCTTCTAAAACGAAGGGCTAGGGTGGACTGTCAGGGAGAGGCAAGTCAAATTGGGAAGGTGTAGTGTAGCAAAGATGGCGCAACTGTACTAGAATTGATGGAGAATTGGAATGTGGAATTGTACATACTATTGGAATAGAAGAAAAATGTTACTGTGAAATGTTCATTAAAGTAAAAACAATGTTAAGTTTCAGTAGCAAAATTATAAAAGAATTGGTAAAAAACAACTATTTTCTAATGTTTCTGTTGGCTTCAATCGAAACTTAAGGCAGTGGGAAAAACTTGATCCAACATAGTAATTTTTAATAAATAAAATAATTCTGACCCGACGCCGGGAGAGGAGTTGACCCCGGTATCTAAAGCAAGTCTATTTTAAATGATATTTTAATTTAGAGTTCATTATAATATTATTCTGGTAAATTACAATAAATTTACAAAAGCGAGGAGGGACCATCTGGATTATAGAGCTTCCTAGAATAACTAAAATATATTTTTCCAGATTCATGAGATATTCTAAATCTTCATGTATCATTAAGTTCAAGTAAATACAAAGATTTTTAGTATTATATGTACTAGCATAAGGTATCTGCGTCCAGCTCATTATAAATCTATTATAATTTCATTCAGAAGTTTGTGTAATATTTCTTCAGAC